GAAATTTTTGAAGAATAAAAGTGGTGCAGCAAATATTGCTATGAGAATATTGTGTATAAGGATTGACTTGAAACAAACAGTAAATTCACTAACTCTGTTTGAATGTGTGTTTTGGAAAGTATTTGATTTAGCAAGTATGATAGTAATGATGTGGATGATTTTTATGATAGAATAAAGATAATAAGAGATACAAGAGAACTGCCACAGGCCTTTTCTTATGCAACCAAAGGATAAACAAGACTCTCAAACTTGAATAGACTTCAACCAGAGGTTCCATCTCACTGCACCAGTTGTCTTGAAGATTCATAAGTTCCTGAGTTGAGGCTCACTTGTAATAAAGAGAGTAAAACATTTTTTCTTGCTTAAAATTACTATAAAAGAAAAATTTTTAACAAAATGGACATAATTAAAAGAGAAACTCTTTTCTACTTTTCCTTCTATATTTAAAAATTTTTGAGTTGTTTATTTTTTCTCATCTTCTTTTTCTATTTCTTTATCATCTTTTTTTTATATTTTTATATTTTCTCTTTTTTATATTTTCCTTTTTCTTTTATATATTTTTTTATATACTTTATACACTTCTCTTTTTTTTTTCTTGTCAAAACTAGTTTTTTTTTCTTACTGATGATTTTTTTCTTTAGATTTTTTTCTCTTTTAAAAACTTTATCTTTATAATATTAACTTTCTAATCAATTGACTTCTTTTTCTCAAGAACTATATTAAGAAATAATAACCTTTTTTAAGATATGGGCTTTAAAAAACTTTTCTCTTCTATAATTTTTTAAAAAAAGTACAAATAACTTATTTTCTTCAAAAAATTGATATAATTATTATTATCAAACTTAATATTATTTATTAATTAACAGTTAAACTAGATATGTTCAAAAAACCACTATATAATTATTATTATTTGAAAATATTCAAGAAGTTGTATTTCACAATATCCATAATGAAATGGTAGCCAATGTTAATGCTATTAACAATAAGTTAGATTAGTTGCAGGTATTATATTAATGATTGAAAAACTTAGTAAGGTAATATATGACAATTAGAAATTTTCAAATTATTTTTGCAAACAAACTGGTGACAATAACAAAAAGTTTTTGCTTATTTTTCAAACAATATAAATCTATTATGCAAGATTAAGTTTCAGTATTATTAAAAAAATTAATATAAACTATACCTATAGGATATTTTTACTATACTTGAAATATGAATATATTAAATCTTTTTTGTGACTTGAAAACAAATCTATATAAAGTGATTATAGTACCTTTATACAAAAAAGTATTCACTTTTCATCATATCTAATATTACTTTACTTGTTATATATCAAGTTATATTTAAAAAGTAAACATGTCAATTCTAATTATAACTTGAAGACTAATTTATATAGATTGATTACAGCACCTTTATATGATTAGATATTTATTTTTTTCTAGATAGTTAAACATTATTCAAAATAATAATATAGATTTTGGAATTTTTATTTTTTTGTATTTCTTGAATAGTACTAAAGAAGCATAGAAGAGTGACTTTTTTATAAAAGTCTTATGTTAAACACTTTTTAATAAAAAAAGATATATATTGTGCTATAGATATTGTATTTTGTTTTGCAAGTAAAAAACAATAATTTAATAAAGCATAATAACCATTTGCTTCTTTTAAAAAAAATATATATATATATATATTATACTTGTTTTGATAAAAATAATTAAAGATATTTGATATTTGATATAAGTATTTATACAAATTCAAGAAAAATAAATTTTTAAACAATTGTAAAAAGCCATTGGTTTATAGTAATTTAACAAATAAGTTTTTTTTTTATAAAATAATATATTTATTATATATAAATTTAATTAAATTTTGTTGTTTTTTATAAATTTAAAATATTTTAAAAATTACTTTTATTTTAAAAAAATTTATAATATTAGAATTGTGAATTATCAAATTTAATTTGTTGGATATATTTTTTAAAAAATATTTTATAAGATTAAAAATATTGTTTTCATTATAAATATATACAGTACTTATCTATGTACGGTATATGGAATAGCTCATTTAATCAATTATTTGAATAAAAGTTTTTTTGATCTGTTTTTTTTTCTTTTACAACATATTGTATATATTGTATATATATTTGTATTGAGATAAAGAAAATATTCTTTGTAATGGATTGATCATTTTATTAAATAAAAGCAGAAAACTTACATACCGATCAAGCTGGATGTTTGCCAGTAAGATAAAAACAGTTTAATTTTTATCATAAATATCGAACAAAGATGTTTATCTCGACTCTGTGATCAACCTTATTAGTTCTGTTTGTAATACGGACGATCTACTCTAGATCGCTATTAGGTAATATTTCATGTCGGAGCATTGAATGAAACTTTCATGGACAAAGCATTAATCCCTTAATCCAAAGCGGTCTTTCCTTCCTTCTTTCCTTCTTTCCTAGAAAACCATTTACAACACATCTTCATTTCTCAATTTGGCAAACCGCTTGAATGAATAACGATAGGTAGGCAATTTGCATATATGACTCAAAAAGGGAAACCATTTTGGCGGTTGAACGATTGTACGTACGTACAGTATCACCAAAGACGTTATTGGTCGGAAAATTCTGGTCACCGTTCTGTGCGTTACTTCAAAAGAATTCTCCGACGATTGAAGTGATTGATCGTTATGATAGAAACAAATCCCAACTTTTTTTTTTTTCCGTAAATTGGTCACGTGATATTGAAATCCACGAATTGCAAATTGTATACTTTGTATATTACAAGTTCTGTCTTTTTATATATTGAATATATATGAATAAAAAAGAAAAGACTAGATACAAAATTTTGTCTCAGACAACCGTTATGCGATTACGAATAACGCCTGACAGCAAAGGATGGGCATAGATAAATAAGATAAACAAGGCAATTCAGAAAAACTATATAAAAAAAAAGGGAGTGATGGAAAATAAATATGGAGAAGGATGCATGTTGGATTGTACGGGTTTTTTTTTTCATTAAAAAAACAGTTTACAAAATCAATGTTGAGAAATGCCGGGTTTAAAAAATAAAAATACAACTACATGGGTTGGTGAATTTTACAATTTTTGTTTGGAAGAATATCTTTTTAAAGAATTTACACTGCGTAAAGAATTCGTCTTAAGAGAACTCCTCCTTGAAGTTTGAGAAGTTGATGAAGAAAAAATATTATTGGTGTTAGTACTATGGTTTCTCGAGAGTGAGGGGGGATTACTCTTGGACGCATTCCTAAAGTGGGTAGACGATGATCTTATGGTTTCATTGAAATGGTTATGTGCATTAGCATGATCAACTTTTCGTACATAGAATCGATAAAATTTACAATGGGTGTTATATTCTTCGACTTCTTTGACATAGGATGTAAGCATATCATCATATTCTGACGAGGTGACACTCATAAATTCCAGGTTTGATTTTTTTAACGTTTTGAATACTTGCAAACCGTTTTCCAAGCTCTTTTAGAAAGAAAAGAAAAAAGAAGTAATAATTAGCAATCGGAGGAAGATCACAAAATAGGGAAAGAATAAAATAATACCTACATTCAATCCGTCCCATTTGTTTAAGAGGCCTGTTCGCGTTTCAACATGGAGGTCTTCCAAGTAGGGGTTCGTTGTGAGAATTCTGGTGATGATCGTCTCTATCATCGGGCTGATACCCCTGGCGTGCATCGATGCAAGGACTAAGAAAGCGATCAACTAATTAATACACAGTATATGCGCAGAAAAAAAGAAAGGTGGTAGAAGACAAGCGTAAGGATACTTACACGCCTCCTGTAATTTCATGGTAACCGGTCCTTGATTGTGCAAAGTCAGATCTCCTTCCATTAGCTCAATAAATCCAAAGGGTTTGGTCACTCTCACCAACTCTCTAATCACCACATCTTCCCATTGCTTTGTGGTCAGCCACCTAACCAAAAGACTCATGTGCACGAAGTCAAAAGTAACGTCCTCGAATGGTAATCCTTCGAGTAAGTTGCCTTGATAAAATTCCACATTCTCGGGAAGAGAGGATGTCTGATAATTCGGTGACAAGTCCAGACCATAGAATTTGGTGTTTGGATATTCTCTAGCCATATCAAGGATCCACTCTCCAGTTCCGCACCTGTCCGATAGAAAAAGAGAGTAATGATGGTTAGATAAATTTGAAAACATGGGTGTTGTGAAGTGGATTTCGGTGTTTACCCGATGTCGAGCACTTTCATTCCTCCATCTCGCAATTTTTGATTGATGGGGGAGTAAAACTTTGATTCCCATAGATTTGACATGTAAGAATACTGAGATTGGAGCCTTTTGGTCTCAGAAATACCACAAGATTCAAAGGAACTCTTTGATGCTTCGTGTACAATCTGCGCCGGACGGACATTAAAAAATCGATGAGACGCGATCGATACGGGACTCGGTGGCATGCTCCCATCCTCATCCTCTGTATTGATCGCTGTATCCGAATGACAATTTCCCATGTGGAATAAAAGATAAAATATAGTGAATAAATAGATAGATATGCGTATGTATGTAGATGTAGTAAATGAGCTTCCGATTAAATGTACATAAATTAAGGGAATGTGTGGGTAAGTGTGGAGGAAAGAAAGAATGATATAGGTTTACCAAAGGTTTTTCGACAGGAAAACCATAAGGAAATTCACGAAGAAAGAAAAAAAAACCTTCGATTTGGAATTTTTGTAAAAGTTCTAGGTATCTTAATATATATATAGCAAATTTGTATTGCCATTTATGCACATCCTAATTTATTTGTCGTACGAAAAAATCGTACCTTGTTTTTTATTTGTTTTCTCAACGGTCATGAATTTTGTGATACGCAAGGTTATAAAATAAAGCCATTATTTATTTATAAACTGATATAATTCTAACGTAGCAATAGTTTGATGGGGATTCGATAGCATTCATCACCACAATTGAGGATTTTAAGCTAAAGAAAATATAACGAATTCACATCATTAACACGTTGCAAGACGGTGTAAGTTTTTATTGTGTCGCCGGAGGAATCGTGAGACACGTTAAACAGTAGGAAACCTTCTTTGTTGACACTGTGTAAACATGGGTTTTACAAATGACGGGAGTTACTGAAAATTTTTATTTCATAAGACAACAGTTTCTGCAACATTTATTATGAGGAACGAATATGAAACAATGACATATTTAAAGATAAAATTAATCATTTGACATTCACCTGATAGCCATACGTCTTAGGCGCATTCATTGGTAGAGTGCAACTAAATTGAGGGACGGTATTCGGACAAGATCAACTTTAGTACGGAACTCGTGAACATTTTCTCGCTATTCTTAATTTGGTCCATTTCTCTTTTCGCTTTGCTTGTGATAATTTATTTCGACGGTGGGAATTGAATAGGCTTCACTCGATCATGCGTACTGTATAAAATCAGATTACAAGTTACCTCCTGGTGTGAGTGAACGTTGAGTAGAAAACTTCAAGATCGATCGTTGTTATTTTGTAACCTTAAAAACTCGTAACCCACGAGCGTTGCTTCATCATTGCCTAAAAATAGTTAGCGAGTAATTGGATCTTCCATCAAAAGTAATGTTCATTTCTTTTCTACCTTTTTTTCTATTTTCCGATTAAGCTTGGTAATAGCGTGGCGATAGACTCGTGTTAAAGAATTAAACCTCGTGATAATCGTTTCGGTAAACTTTAAAGCTGATATACATGCCTTACATAGATCACTAAATAAACTTCAATGGGTGGTTTTTTTTTTTTTTTTGTTTTTTTTTATTGTCGATTAGTAATAATATCATTGAAACAAATTTACTCTTTTGCATGTACAACGTAAGAAATCTTAATTTGTTCTCTGCCAAATATCAAACTTTAATTTCTGAATCAAATACATGCACGCTTAGGTATGAACTCAAATCTCTTTAGGATGTTTTGCGCGATAAAGCATTTACCTGAGACAGGAAACGTGTACTCGGACGCCTTTCATTATTACAATAAATGATTTACGTATTGTGCTGTCGGAGGATCATATGCATATAATAAAAAATTGAGCAAAACAAATGTTACCCAGAATGTGATCTCTTACTCACAATGCGTTGCGTGTAGAAGATGAAAATGCGCCTCTTAATATTCGCAAAATTCCTTCTATTGCATGGAGGCGTCGTTACAAAGGGAAACAAACACGTATAAAATAATGGAATCCGCAAGTGGGATTTCCACCATCCAATTGGAAATTCTTCGAAAATTTTATCAGTATTGCAATCAGTGCATCACATATGTCATTGGGTCGGCAAAGGTTCGAGCGCACAATATTCAAATAATAAATTGTCAAATAAGCTGGTATCCAATAGAATCTCGATCAGATCGGGTCAAACTCAAAATATTTGCCACTTGTAACCAACACAAATAACCAGAACTACGTCAGCGGCAAAATGCAATGCAGAGCTTGTCGTTCGTTCGTTCGCACTTACGAACGCTCTACTCGTTCACGTGAACACATAGCCCAATAATTTATTTTTGGAAGTCCCGCGCCGAACTTACGAAACTAAAAATATCCGGTTGACCAATACGAACGGATGTGAAACATTCCCGGCAGAACGACAGGTCACCAAGCTCATCTTTCATGAAATACCGCGCTAATGCATGTAATATCCATTCAATATCCAAAAAATTTCTTCCTTTTTTAACCAAGGTCTGCTGGTGGTTTCATTTCGACTTTACGATTTTTTTTTTTTTTTTCTTTTTCGGCGAATACCCTCTAAAAAGGATGCTATTGTTATTCAAAGAATGCCTCAACTCGGTCCAATAAAATCTCCTTTATGTCGAATGATCGTACATAATGACTGATGCCGATCTTGAAATAAACTTTTTCGATGGATCGTACGTGCGCGTTGTCAGTGATAATAACGTATCGCACTAATAATCTTTCAGCAATTGTTTGCATAATCAATCTCATTAACCTGTTAGCGTTATGATCACCATCATTTATTATTTCAAATAAAACCTCTCATAATGCTTCATTTTAGTAAATTTACATCGTAATCTCATTATATAATCATTAGTCAAAGGTTTTTTTTGATCGAACCACTGCATATCGATATTATTTTCTATCAACGCACCAAAAAATGTCTTTGAGAATATTTTCTATTTCAAACGATAAGAGATTATCTTATCTTTTCCGAGTGTATGGTGATAACAGAAAAAAGATAACCGATTGATTGCAACTGTTGTAACATAAGATTACATGTTTTTTTTGTAAAAAAATAATTTAAAAATGATTTTTATTTTTGTTATAAAAAAAAGAATGATATTTTTTTTATGGCATAATTTACTATTGGTCTTGGATTCCATGCACTTTTGCCAATAACTTTTTAAATCTAACTTTTACTTAACTTTTATTAACAAATAATCCTATAATCACCCATATTGAATCCGTTTGAAAAAAACCAACATATTTAAATTTCATGCTTTTAATCACATGCATTGTTGATTAATATCACGAAAATTATTTGAAAAATCAAAATTTACAAAATCATGTTTTAAAAATATTATTACAATTATTGAGAATATTTTGTAAAATAATATATATATGTTGATTTTTAAAATCATAAATGTGATCATAATATATTTTCTTTTAAATATATTGTATGTATGTATGTATGTATATTTATTTATTATACTTTTGAATATGTTGCAAATTTTTAAAATTTAATTAAAAGAATAAAAAAAAGTAAATAATTTAAAAATAAAATAATGTTTAAAATATTTTATTATATTACAATATCAACATAAAATTATATAATATTATTTATTATGTTTTAAAATATATATTTATTATGTAATAAATTAAATGAAACTAAAAATTTTATTAATATTATTTTTATTTTTATATTTAAAAAAATTTTTTTTCTTGTTATTTAAATAAATAATCATATTATCAACTCTTTAATTAATTGATTTTTTTTAACTACTTTAATAAAAAAAACTGATATTAATAATCAAAGATTTTTTATATGTATATTTCTTATAATAATATAAGTTATTTATACAAATCAATAATTTCATATCTATATAACTAATTATATTTTAATATTTTTCTTATTTTTTTTTCCTATAATCAAACAAGTATATATAATCTTAATATAGAATATATGATAGTTTTATAACTTTTATACTTAAAATTTTTTATAAATAATACTTGAATACTTGTTTTAATTAAAAATATCTTTAAATATAATTTTAAAAATAAATAAAATTGCTTATTCTTATATATATTAGCAAAGTAAATAAGATGATATGTATCGATTAATAATATACAGAATATATATCAATTATAATTCCTTCTGCTGATTATTATCAATTTATATAAAAATCAATATGTATTAGAGTTTATTAATTTAAATTTACAATTTAAAAAAATCAATTTATATCAAGTTTTATTGATTTTTCTTATAATTAATATGTTAATTAATAACAAATTATATATTTTTTCATATACATTATAATTCTTATTTTATATATATTAATTAAAACCAAACAATTTGTTTTATTAAAGCAAATTAATTTGTTTTCACATTTTTACAAATTATTATATTTATTTTTATTTTAATTTCTATTATCTTCATCAACATTAAATAATACATCTTGTTTTTCTTGTAAAAGTATTATTAAATTGTTTTGCTACATTCTATTAGATTCAGTTTCTTCTTGTTCTTGTTCTAATGTTTCTTGCAATTGCTTCCAATTTATTTCACTTTCTAACTCATTATTTAAAATTTTTTCAACAGAATTTAGGAAGGAACCATCATTATTAAAATCTTTCTATTTAATAAATATATTAGATTATATTAAAAAAAATCATTATATTTTAATCAATTACTTATGAAAAAATTCTTTATACAATGTTTTATCCACTTTTTAGAACAAATGATACTCTTGAATCAAGGATTCAAAAAAATATCACATATAGCAAAAGTAAACGCACAATATTTATTGCTTAAAGTAAAAACCAATGTTTCTAAAAATGTTGCTCCTGCAATTGAGATTACTTGATATATTCCATCACTATTTAATTGAAAAAGTAAATGATAATATTCAAATACTTTTACAGACTTTTTTCATATTATAATAACAGCTAATGATATATTGTTTCTTAAAAATAATAATCATTCTGAACTAAAGACTTGCTACATTGCTGTTATAATACCTTGTAATGTTGCGTCACAGAAATTTTTTATTTTGCCAGAAGCTTTTGTTTAATTAAGTTTGAATTAGTTTAAAAATAATTAAAGACAATTGAATTATTTTATTTATATTCACCATGTTACACAATTTACCATGAAATAAATTTGTAAATTAATTAGAGCTTAAATTGAACATATATGTGTGGTGAAGTGTTTCATGGATGGAGTTTGGTTTTGGATTTCTTAAAGGTGCTGATACCTGACCTTGTACAATGAGACCTACATTGTTGGAGGGGTAGGCAAGAAACTTTTGTTGTTATCACTAGCTCGTGTTGCGGAGGTAACTAGAATCCCTGGTCTTCACGTATTATCCTACTAGATTCTTCAATTACCAGCATAACACTTGCAGGCTAACCTAGTTTATTGTTAGTTGCATTGGTATTGGCTGTCATATCTTTCTGGATACTGTGGGGCGCAACTCCTTGGATACTTTTGAATAATAATAATTGTATACCGGTTTTTTAGATGTATCTAGTCTAACCATCAATAAGTAAACAACACCGGATTAGGTAATGATGGCCATGTTGATCTTTTGAAGGGGGTAAACCGTCCATCCTTTTTCTGAGAAGCCATGGAGGGAAGACTTGCCATAGCCCACATCCTGTGGAAACCTTGCCGTTTCTTCTTTGGTTCCTGAGAAAAAAGGGTCTACTGGCCAGAGGAGTGATGTTATAGAGACGGAGTTTTCAAAAGAGAGAAAGGCCTAAGGAGGAAAACCTTCAGGGAAAAGGAAAAAATCTAGTTTCAGCAGGAAGAAAAAGAAAAAACGGAAGGAAGGGGTAAAAGTAAAAGGAAAGAGTATATAGAAGAGAGAGGAGAAGATAGGAGAAGAGAAATAAAGAGGTATGGGGAAAAGACATAGGAAGAAGGGAAAAGGGAAGACGAAGAAAAAGTAAACAACTCAAAAATTTCCTAAAAAGGAAATTTTCAAGTGTAGAAAGGGGGAATGGGAAAGAGTTTTTTTTCTTTGTCAAAAGCTTTTTGATATTATCTGTTTATATTTTTACTTTATTATTATTTGATATAAATAAAATTATTAAAAAAATTATTATAAGTTTAATTTTTACTAATAATAATCAATTATTTGTTCTGACTTGAAAGCTTTTTCTTGAACAGGATCTCTTAATTTGAAGCCACTCTGTATCTATTTTGATTGTTTGATTTAGGTTTTACCTACAAATTTATTAATATAGAATTAATATGTTTTCTAATATTGACTATTTTTGTTAAGTTTATTTTTTATACTTAACTTTTAATTCATTTAGGAGTTTCAATATTTTTTTAAATAATTTGAAATTTATAATCAACTATTTCTATACTTTTGAATCTGGATATATTGGATTTTGAGTTTGTTTTGAATTTGAAATCTAATTTGTTTAGATTTTCAAGTATATGAATTTCTATAGAAATATATGGTTTTTTTGCTTTTTCTTAACTTGATAATCTTATTAATTTAATTAAATGATAGCAATAATTTGTTTCTGAAAGTATTTGTTAAACTTGAATTTGTTTGAATAAGCTTTATAAAACCAGTATTCATATTGATTATTTGAAAAATCTTTGTTTTTTATTTGTAAAATTATTAGTTTCTTTGCTTCTATATCAAATAGAATTATTTTTTTCTTTTAATTATATTTGCCATTTTTATTTTCTTGTATCTTGTTAAAACATTTGAAAAAAATATTACTGTTTTAACATATCTATTTTTTATTTTGTCAATTTAAATTAAAAACTTTAAATATATTAACTACATGTTTTTGAACTTTAATATATCAATAATATTTAAATATTTTGTTACAACTATATTGGAATTAAATAAATTTTTAGCTCAAAAGAGTATTAGTTTCTGTTTTTATAAGTTGGTTAATAAATATAATATAAATTATTTACTGTTAACTTAATTTTCAAAATTTTTAAAAATAATTGTATTATGTCTATAGTTTCAAAAATTAAAATTAAATAAACTTATATAGACTTATATGAGATTTGAAATACTATTAAAAACAGTAATAAGTTATAGCTTACATATTAAATTTAATATAAACCTGAGAATTAATTAAATTGAATTAATCTTTAATTATATCTAAATTATTTATATATTTTAATAGTAATTTAATTAATTGTATCAAATAATTGTATCAATTATATTAAGGATCTATAAATTTTAGCAATATATATAAATTTAATTACATAATTATAAAGAGCTAAAGTGTAATACATGCATGGTTTTTATTATAAAATTGATTAAGATTACAAATTTTTTATACATATGAACAGTCTATTAACTAATGCTAATATTAACTGACACTATCTATCCTTTTTTACCAAAATACTAACTTACATTTCATAAGCATGTCCATATCCTAATTTATTCTTAGTAGGGTCTAATCTTAATTT